TCCTCGACTGCTTTCCCAGGCCACAAGCAGGGAGCTGGATGGGAAGCAGGGCTATTGGGATTAGAACCAGCACCCACATGGGATCCCAGTGCATTGAAGGCAAGGACTTTAGCTGCTAGGCCATGGCACAGGGCTCAAGGTTGACTTCATGAGGAAGTTGAATATGTTGAGCTAAATCAAATATATTATCACAATTAACCTCTCCTGTCAATCATAGAACACAGGAAATACAAATCTATTACATTAAAATTAGTCTTTACTTGTTTTAGTGGTGGTTGCTAGAAGCGTTTAAATTGCATGTGTGGTTCCTGTTGCAGTTCCATTGGCTGTGCTGGTGTCAGGGTGACCCTTCGCTAAAGGGAGAAGTTATATCCTTGCTGGAATTCCACCATAACCTGAAGTTTCATGGCCTCGCACTAGCCTAAATTTAGTAGTGTTTGCTCTGTGTCCATGTTCCATATTTCTAAACATGGTCTACTGAACTGTCCCGGAAGTGTTGTCTAAAATCCATCGTTCAGCTGACACAGCAAGAAAAAGCCCGAGTCAAATTTCTCCTCTTGCTCCCAGCCAGCGAATGTGGAAATCCTGACCTGTTTTGGCTAAATGGAACTAGATCCACCCACCCCTCTCCTCTGCTTACCACAGTGACACTGAAAGGCTTGAGTCAGCTCTCCCAAGAGACCGAACTGCACTCCTGGAAACACAAGCTTTCTTTTTAATTACAGCAATTCAGATTCCATAGATTCGTTACCATCAGTACCTTAAAAAAATGTTCATTTTTTTTACTGGAAAGTCATATTTACAAAGAAAAGGAAAGACAGAGAGAAAGATCTTCCATCTGCTGGTTCACTCCCCGAATGGCTGTAATGGTCGGAGTTGCGCTGATTCAAAGTCAGGAGCCAGGAGAGCTTCTCCCAGGTGTCCCATGCAGGTGCAGGATCCCGAGGCTTTGGGCCGTCCTATACTGCCTTCCCAGGAAGCCAGAACCATCAGTATCTTAATGACTACTGACTTACCGCTAGAATTCAGGATAAGCAATCCAAGTAATCAAACAATATGTTTCTTCCCCTATCTGTAGTTTTGTGGCTTAATCATTTTTAAGATTGATTTCATTTATTTGAAAGAAAGTGACAGAGAGAAAGAGAGAAAACAAGGCAGAGAGGGATCTTCCAACTACTGGATCACTTTCCAAGTAGTCAGGAAGGACAACGTTGGACCAGGAAAAGGCCGAGAGTCAGGTGCTCCTTCCAGGTCTCACCCAGGTGGGTGAACTGGGATCGTCTGTTCCAAGCTCTTACGCCATCCTCGCTGCTTTCCCAGAAGCTTTATTGGATAACTGGATTGGAAGCAGAAGTGCAGTGGCTTGGGACTTAAACCAGCATTCCAATGTGGGTTGGTGGCATTTCAGAGCAGTGGCTTAACCCGTTGCAACACAACGCCAGCTCCTAAACGCTGCTTAATTTCTGTAACCAATGTCATTCATAAACACAAATAACAGTCTCTAGTGTTTGGTGGCGGTGGCAGGGGGTGGGTGGATATTGGGATGGATGGAAGGTGTAGGACCCTGGATTCTAAATCTAGTTCAGCATCTAGACATGCGATCAGAGAAAATCCCAGTAATGAGCAAGGACTTTGGAAGCAAGTAGCTATGTGCTGAGCCCAGTTCCACCACCTCACTGCTTAACCCAGAACAATCGCCTTGATCTCTAGTAACTTTGGTTTTCTGTCTGGAAAAAGAAAAAAAGACAATGCTACCCATTCCATGGGTTTGTTCAGAGGTTGAATATTACAATGGGCATAAAGCTGTCATCAGAGATGTTTCGAATCACCAGAAAGTGATGACTTCACTGAACGATGTATGAGATCTTCTCTCTATTGTTGAAGTTTAATTTTAAGAATTTTAAACCACCCTTTGGGTGGAAATCCTGGTTTTTGGAAATTTGGCTAGTTTCTTCAAAATTGTTCAGCTAAGTGCACATCCTTCAGAGCAGAGATGGCCTATTTCATCACAATAAAATGACCAAGAGTTTTATTTACTTCATAAATCTTGGTGGTCACCATGGATTTAAGATAACCAATATGTAAGAGTCAGGGAAACATTTTTTAAAAATGAGTAACATGAAATTAGTCACGGAAGGGACCCAACAAGCCAGCATACAGTGACTTAATAAGCTAAGGAGAAAAACCCTGGAGATGGTGATGGTGCAGAACCTTATGCCAGCTGTCTTTAAACAGCTTTGAATGACTTTGAGGAGCTGGCGCTGTGGTTTGGGGAAGATGGCTATTTTTAAAAAATAAAGAAAGAAACATATAAAATCTATGCCTTAGTGTGCTGCAGGCATTGTGCTGTTATAAAAGCTCATGCAATTCAGAATCAGGGGCAAGAGACAGGAAGTCTAGGACGTCAGATCTCCAGGAAGAGACAAAGCTTTCTATAATACACGAGGTTAGAGCTCTGTCTTGGAAAACTGCATGAAAAACACTTTTATATAATATGGACGCAAAGATCAGTTAAAGTGGAGTTCCATTTTTCCCATTAATTCCAGTAATCCAGACACCAAGCTCCACTCTCCCTGCTTGTAATGTGATTATATTATTACTGTTAATACTTGGAAAGGGAAAGAGAAATAAGCTGACACTTGACTTTAGCTACTGCATCTGCTGAGGCTGCACCGTTATCTGTACAACCTTTCTCCCACGTCCTGTAGGAGCAGCTCCCAGGATTAAGGAGACACCAGGAGTCCTATATAATGCTAGGTTGTTGGTGGTGGCGATCTTGTCAAAACCTGTTATGTCATTAGGTGTGAAGGCCACACAGACCTATTTTGACCCATCCGATGCCTTAGTCCGTATTCTTTTCCCTGTGGGACCAGCGTAATGGGTAGCTCAGCAGCTACCCAGACCTATCTTGGGTGGAACCTGTAGGATGCCACGTTGTATCAGCTCACTGATCCAGAAATGAGTTCACTCATTTGGGATGCCAGCACTGCAGGCAGAGACTTAGCATACTATACCACAATGCCAGCCCCTGTTGTGCTCATTTTATAGCTGAGAAAATTGAGGCTCTGAGGATGTGTTCAGTATGCAAATGCAGGGAGAAACAGCACAGCTGAGACGTGAACCTGCACCTGCTGTCTTTAACCCCTTGAGTCTGTCACCAGAGTAATACAGGTGATCATTTTCCACCTCCATTTCCAAAACTTTTGAGGTTTCCAAGCTACAGTCTAATTACCATATAGACCGAACAGCTGTTTCCTCGGAGGAGGGCATGATGGGAGCCTGAGGACGCTCCAGGATGGGTCATGCCTCCTGCTTTCTCTGATTTTGATTTGGCTTTGTGGTCAAACAAAGAAAGATGCAAGTTCCCTCCATTTTCCCCTAACTTCTCTCTGCCATTTAAAAACATCTAGGGGTCCTGCAGTGTAGCCTAGCGGCTGGGGTCCTCACCTTGCATGCACCAGGATCCTATATAGGTGCCAGTTTTAGTCCTGGCAGCCCCACTTCCCACCCAGCTCCCTGCTTGTGGCCTGGGAAAGCAGTCAAGAACGACCCAAAGCCTTGAGACCCTGCACCCATGTGGGAGAGCTGGAGGAGGCTCCTGGTTCCTGGCTTCTGATCCATGCAGCTCTGGCTATTGCAGCCACTTGGGGAGTGAATCACAAAACAGAGGATCTTCCTCTCTGTCTCTCCTCCTCTCTGTATATCTGACTTTCTAATAAAAATAAAATAAATCTTTTAAAAAATATCTAGAAGAAGTGAGTTGTTGGGATTGAGTAATCTAAAGACAACTTCAAAAGCTGAAAGGGATAGCAAGTGTTACCGTCCCCCCTTCAGATACTCTCAAGGCTGCTGCCGGAAGAGGATGAAATTATGTTTCTGGTTTCAAAGAATCTAATAAGGGCCAGTGAGGACACATTCTAGAAACTTTAGAATCTTCTTTCTGTCAGAATCCAGCTGCATGAGACTCCACAGTGACATGGCCTCAGCAAGGTGACTGGACCAGATCGCTTCTTTTTTTAAAAAAAACATTATTATTGGAAAGGCAGATTCACAAAAAGAAAGAGAGACAGAGAGAAAGATCGTGCATCACTCATTCACACCCCAAAAGGCCACAATGAGAGCCGATTTGAAGCCAGGAGCCAAGAGCTTATTCCAGGTGTCCCAAATGGATACAGGGACCCAAAGACTTGGGCCATCCTCTACTGTTTTCCCAGGCCACAAACAGAGATCTGGATGGGAAGTAGAGCAGCCAGGAAACCAACTGGTGCCCATGTGGGATGCCAGCACTTGCAGGTGGAGGATTAGCTTGTTGAGCCAGTGTACTAGCCCCTGGATCAGAACACTGTTAAGGTCAGTGCTAATCATAGAATTATTTGATCCTTTATTGGATTGGCTTTATTTGCTGGTCCTCTCAGATTTTATCCTTAACAGTTAGAAATCGTGGTCCAAATGTGTCAGCCCTAAGGCAACACCTCGGTCATCCATTGATACAGGAAAAGTCACAGAGATGAAGGAGAAAAATGGAATCAGAGTGAGCTGGGTATCTAGCACAGCAATGAAAATGCTGCTTAATACACCTGCATCCCAAACAGAGCGTATGGGCTCCGACTGTGGCTCTCCTTGCCACTTCAACACCCTGCCAACGTGCATCAGGGATGCAGCAGGTGATGGCTCAAGTGTTTGGGTCCTTGCCACCCACACGGGAGGCCTACACTTAATCTCTGACTCCTGCATAGTTAGCTTGGCACAGCCCCAGCTGCTGTGGGCAACTGGGGAGTAAGCCAACAAATGAAAGATACCTTCCCCTTGCTCTCAAACTTTCAAATAAAATGAATATAAATAAATGAAGAAGATGGGAACATGAAATAATTCAATGCATCCCAGAAGACCCCTTGGGCTCCACCCACCACCCACCCATCCAGTGACCTTCCTGTCATTACCATGTATCAACAGCAAACTGGTCAAGTTTGCAGTGTGTAATTGCTTTTTTTCTTTTTCAGATGTTCACCTCCACAATTTTCGCTGCGATTGGATTCGTGGGTGCTGGATATTCGTTCATCATTTCTGCTGTCGCCATCAACAAGGGTCCAAAATGTCAACTGGGGAGCAACACCTGGGGTTACCCCTTTGAAAATGGGTAAGGCTCCTCTGCCCCTGCAGTGCCCACATGTCACCACAAGGGGCAGTGCACGTAACTCATGCCTGGGGACCCTGCAAGGGATGTCTTCCTGCTCAGGATCTCAGACTTGGGGCTCCTCTGGGAGAGAGCAGGACATGTGGCGAGGAGGGAAGCTACAAGGCTGTCTTCTGTAATGGCTGTATTGACAGACGCTAGTAGAAATCACTGGCCCAGGATGCCTCGTTTGGCTTGAGTGAAGGAGGAGGTTTATTGTGTTAGTATGTACATTCAAATGTTTATTAGTACCAACACAAGCAGTCAATCACAGCATAATATTGGCTTTCACTACAAATCTTAACATTGGAATGTGGATGATTATATACTAACTGGAGTTTCCACCAAAAACCCAAATTGCCTGTAACTAAACAATCTTTTAAGGTGCAGATTCATACAGACCGACATTGAAAACATTCTTCTTAACAGTTAATAGAGTTCATTACAAAAACCTTTCAGAGTTGCATGGTACTCTGCAAGGTGTTGCTCATCTTTTTCCAACAAATTCCGACAAATGTAATCTTCCTAATGATCCCAGCAGGCAGTTTGTCTGCAAGTTCAGCTGGATAGATGCACGATCTCAAAATCTTTGCGTGTTCATTGTGCCCCTCGTTCTGCTCCCAGGCTGCAGCATAGCCCATTAGGCAGTGGGCACTGGTGGTCATTTCAGGTGAATGTCTTGTGTAGGGATGCTTGCGACCCCATTCAAAGCCCCTGTATTCAAGCCTTGGCTCTGCATCCAGTTCCGTCTTGCTGTTGATGCAGACCCTTGGAGGCAACAAATGATGGCTCAGTTAGCTGGGTCCCTGCCGTTCACATGAGAGACCTGCACTGGGTTCCTGACTCCAACATCAGCCTGGTTGTTAGATTAAACAACAACAACAACAACAGTGGGACTACCAAGACCAAAATGATGATAAAATCAGGATTTATTGGGGTCTGCTCCTAGGCGAGGTTCACCAGTCCACAGGGAGTGGGCTAGGAAAGTCACACCGGACTGAGGAACGCTTAGATTAAATAGTGGTGATGACAGAGCTTGAGTTAAAGGTATGTGTTGTCTTCTGATTGCTCCATTTGAATGAGTACGGGGTAGCTATTCTAAGTGGGAACTTTTGGCACCACCCGGTTCTGCCTGCCCGCAGGTTCTCTGGGTTAACCCTGGTCTGGCCCTAGATGCTACAGGCATCTGAGGAATGAACCAGCAGATGGAAGCATTCTCCTCTCCTCCCTCTCTCCTTCTAATTTTCAATTAAGTACAAATAATTTTTTTTAAAAAAAATTAAGCCAAATCCATCTCAGTGTCATCAAAGTGGAAACTTGAGTTTTCAGTTATACTAGCCACTATCCCAGCGCACACTAACCACACCTGGCATGCTGCAGCCTCATCTGGCAGCACACACAGGACCCTTGCATCTTCACAGATGTTCTGGGAGACGCTGCTGCACTGATGCTCGTCTCCAAGACGCCTGGGCCTTTTCTCGTTTGCCCCTCTCAGCCTCTCTGCCTTGAGCAGCGGCTCTAGCACATCTAGGGGATGAGGATGTGTGACCACTGGGCCTTCCTGAGCATGGAGAACGGGGGCACACTGAAGAAAAGTCGGTGGGACAACAGGATGCTATTAACCCTTGCTATCCACCGGAGATGGGTTCCAGCATGGTTACTGGCATGTGCAGATGCTCCAATCCCTGCTACGCAAAAATGCTCTAATGTTTACACCTAGCCTGTGCCCACCCTCCCACATAAAGTCCTCTCCCGATTATTCACAATACCTCAGAAAATGCAAACGTTATGCAAATGGACACCCAGCAATGGTGACAAAAGTGATGTCTAAATGCTCAGTGCAGATGCAACTTAAATATTTAAATATTCGGCTCACAGTTGGTTGAATTTGCAGCTACCACACATGTGGACATGGGGATCCCCCTGTGTGTTCATGTCACATGGGGTGATGCAGGACCTCTAGGACCAGCTTAAGCTTGGCAGGGTGGGAGAGGCCCTCCCCCTGAGAGGGTGTCTCCCTTCAGGGACCCCTTCCGACACCAGCATGCCAGCAGTGTAGGACACCTTTCTTTGTTCTGCCTTTGTATGATGCTGCCCTTGAGGAGGTGGCAGTCACTTGGAATAAAATCCAACAACTGATGCCAAGAAGTGCTCCCAAGTGGGTGGACAGTCTCCTGCTGCGTTCTGTCCTTGGCACCAGGCAAGCTGCCTCATGCACTCTCGCCCTGCTTGGACCCAGCCAAGGTCAGGAGAGTAACAGCTGCCTGGTGGGCCACCCCAGGAAATGCCAATTTAGAACAAGGACAGGAAACCACTTTTCAAAGCACTGTGTATTTATCCTTCTGGGGAAGTAAGCATCATTTATGTTCCAGTCGCTTACTGTGCACGCCCCTGTGATGGATGCTTTAACCTTTGTGCTTTCAGCCAGTCCTCTGATGAGCAATGGGTCGCTTCCCTAGCAGGCATCAGATCACAGAGGTTTGCTGTTCTTGGACAGAACTGAGCAAGTTTGCCAGCAAGCAGAAATCCTTCACTACTCTCCAGCCATCTTCTGGCCCGAGCACTGCTTCAACCACAAGCTGAGGTCCTTGCAGTGACTTCCAGTTGTAATGTGAGCACAGGAGTGGGTTGTGGAGCCAAACGCTGTGCTTGCATGTTGCAGGCAGCTGGCAGTCTAAGAGCGATTCTGATTATTCAATCCCACAGTGAGATTCTGAGCCCTGTTTGCAAGGTGTGAGATGTGCCCCAGGTAGGTCATTCAGGGGGCTGTATCCACCTGGTAAGCTCTCAGCAGCAATTCCTCTTCTCCTACTGTCTTTGGCAACAAGGAATCAGAACTCATTGCTCCCCTCACTTTTTTTTTTTTTAAAGAAAGGGATTGGAGGAGAGAGAAAGAGAGAGAGCATGCAACCCCATGCTGCTGATTTATTTCATCAGATGCCCGCAGTGGTCCCAGATGGGGCTGGGGGCCTAAACCCAGAGTTGGGAACTCAGCTCATGCTTCCCACAGGAGTGACAGGGATCCAATCACTTGAGCTGTCACCACTGCCTTCCAGGGTCTGCGTTAGCAGAAAGCTAGAGACAGAAGCCACAGCTGGGAATCGAACCTAAAGACTCAGATATGGGGTCTAAGACATCATATCTAGAACATGATGTATTTTTTCTTTTTAAATATTTATTTTACTTATTTGAAACAAAGAGTTATAAGCAGCGGGGTCAAAGAGAAAGCTCTTAACTTCCTCTGGTTCACTCCCCAGATGGTTACAATGGCCAGGGCTGGACCAGGAGCCAGGGTTTTTTTTTTTCTGGGTCATCCATATGGGTGCATCTTCTGCTGATTTCCTAGGTGCGTTAGCAAGAAGCTGGATCAGAAGTGGAGCAGCCAGGACTCAAACCAATGTGTATGTTAGTACCACAGATGACATTAACCCACTAAGCTACAATGCCAGACACATCTTTTTTTTTTTTTGTAAGATGTATGTATTTATTCAAGGGTCATAGTTACCCAGAGAAGGAGATGGAGAGAAAGACATCTTTTATCTGCTGCTTTACTCCCCAGACACCCACAACAGTCAGAGCTAAGTCAGGCCAACGGATCCTGGAGCTTCATATGGGTCTCCAGCATGAAGTGGGGGTAGAGCAGTTCCCCAGTAGGCTCCTGAGCCAAGGGAGAGGAGCCCAGTGCAGACCCATGCATGTCGTGGAAAGAAGCATCAAGGCCATGTGTGGACCAGGGACTAGGTGATCAAGGGCCATTCGACTACCTAGCTTGGAACACAAGCCAGAGCTCTTCTAGGTTGTCCAATTCAATGTTGTTGTTCTCAGCAGCACAGACAGTGTTACCTGAGAAGAATTCAAGGTCGCATCTCCTACCCATGTGGGAGGTCCAGATTGCGCACAGGGCTCCTGGCTTTCGACGGGCAACAGTCCCAGCACAAGAGTGCATGATGGGAGATCTCTGTCTCTCGGTCTATCAAATAAAGTGTTTAAATGTGTCTCAGGAGGTAGAAAAAGAAAGCTGGCACATTTTGAGGCACACCCTCTTGGCTTCCTGCGCAGGGAAAACTCCTGTCCAACAACTTCCTCCCTGAGACAACTGGTCACCCCAACCTTGACCCTGAGCTGCTGGAAGGGAAGCAGCTGGAGCAGGGCCACCGGTGGGACAGCTGTGGAAGGGGATGTGGGAGCAGGGCCAGGGACAGTTCAGAGCCAAGCATGGCACTCCCCAGGCCGGGCTGCACCCCACACACTCCCTGGGGACCAGCTGGGTGAGGAGGACCCCGACACTCACATGGGATGCACTAAACGCCACAATGACAGGGAGAGCCTGAACAGCTCCACCTGCCCCCAGCATTCACGAAGTACCAACTTCCCACACACGTTAGGAGTAGGTTTTGCCCTTGGCCCACCTAGGGTCCACACATAGGTCTTTCAGCCTCTTCGTCTGTGGAGTGAAGGTAACAGTCTCAGGTGGGAAAAAAGCAACACGATGATTCTGTGACTTTAAATCAGTCTTTTCCGTGAGAGACAAAAAGGCTCCAAAAGAATCATTTCTTTCCTGGATAAGCCTTGATTTATGCTATCATAGACGCTACGATGCGACTTACATGGAAGTCCACAAGCCACCCAGCTGCAAGCTGCTGGAACCTGTGTTCTTACGGAGAAGCGAGCAAAGTGACCCTTCCTTCCTTCATGGAAACTCCAGGACACTTCCATGCATTTGAGAAGTGCTCCAGGTCTAAACAGGGAATGTGTTTAAGTCAATATGGACTGATGCACTAACAAATTACCAGTAAGTAGCAGGTGCCACCACCAAGGGCAGAGAGCAATAATGCAGACACCATCAGTAGCTAATGGAGAGCTCCCTTACTGAGGGTGAGCTCTCTCCACTGATGTGATAAAATAGAAACAGTGTTAACTTTACTAATAATGTTTTTATAAACTGGTAACACAGTAGCAAGTTATTTCTTCTTTTAAAGAAGATGAATTCAATCTCTCTTCATGTGGAATTCCTACTTCTAAACAAAAGTCTAGATGGCTCCAATTCACAATTTGGTTACAATTAGGCCTTGAAAAATATCCTACTGGTCCCTTTAGCTACAGGTCACAGCTGTGTCCCCCCGCAGGTGAAATGGCCTGTGATAATAACTGTTTGGACAGAGGACAGGAGGTGTCAGTTCTTCTAGCTCCCTCTCTGATTTTAGCCGTGCTGCTCACCAGCTCTCTATGATGGCTCTGCACAGCTGTGTGTCGTGGGGGCAAGTCACACCCTCTCTGAGCCTCTCTTTCAGCTTTCTTCTCTGTGAACTGCAAGGAGAGAAACCTAGTGTCCACGAGGCAGAAGTGCAGGGGCTGTGTGTGAAGTGTGGGGAACAGGGGCCTGTGCTCCCCGGCTCCTTCCATTGGGACTACTAGTAGGTGTTTTCTCTCAGCACCCGTTTGAGATGGCAAATACTGTACTGACACATGTGCACCCACACACTCAGAGCAAGTGATACGGTTATTTTTCAATCCGGAGACTCTCACTGCTTTTATAAACGGCACCTTTCTCCCCAACAGGGACTACCTTGGCAACCACTCCATATGGAGCATGTGCCAGCAGCCCAAAGACATAGTCCCCTGGAACCTGACTCTCTTCTCCATCCTGCTGGTCGTCGGTATCGTCCAGATGTGCCTCTGCGCCATCCAGGTGGTCAACGGCCTCCTGGGGACACTGTGTGGGGACTGTCGGTGCTGCTGTGGGGTGAGTGAGGGGCCGAAGCAGGTCACAGGCTCATCGGGAGGAGGGTGGCGAGTCCTGACGCCTGCAAAACAGCAGGGCTTACAGCGGGGAGGTTGGTTAGCCCACAGGGTCACCCACAGGAAGAGGTGCAGCGCTGCTTGCTTCTCCTTCAGCGTCTGCAATCCTGCCTCGGTAGCAAGCGATGGAAAGGGTGATGGAAAGACGTGGGCTCTCAGCCTACTTCCTGCTCTGGCTAGTTCAGGGACCTGAGCTCTACGTGCCTGGATTGAATGTCAGCTCTGTGATCTTGGCCAATTCGATTGCCTGCAACTATTCCTTGCCTCTAAACTCTGGTTAGTAACAGCAGCCTCCCAAGGTTGCTGACAGAGTACCTAGCACAGGTGATAACCGCCTCCATCCCGACAGTTTCAAGCCTTAAGAATGACCGATGTGACTCACTAAGATCATGAGCAAGGAGCCAACCTTGGCAGTCAGCCTCCTGGGTTCAAATGCCTGCTCCACTGTGGAATCAGTTACGGTATTTGGCACAGCCCCTGTACCTCCCTGTGCCTTCGGCCGAATTCCTTTTCATGATCAATGCTTGCAAGGCAAAATGGAGCTGCAGCTCTTAAAACCTAAACATGAAGAAGATGCAAATTAAAGCTCAGAAATCAAGTCAGAAAAGTATGGAAAGGATCCGGTAGGCAGCCAAGGAGCAGGACTTAACCAGGAGAAAGTGGAGTGATGGAGAGAAGAGAGGTTTTTTGGTAAAGAAATGACATCAGAATTAAGTCACTCTTTCTGTCTTTCAGGGAGATGGGCCAGTTTAAACCTCCTTGAAGAGCTTCTCTACCTCCACGTGGGACAAGAACCTGTGCTTCTCTTCTCAGGATTAACCCCATCCGCTTCCCACCCACACAGCTGGGGGAGGGGGGACTGAGTCCTCCCAGTCAGCTCCGCTCCAGTTAGAATGTTGCCATTCTCCACTAGAAGAATAGGTTAGCCGCCTGCCAAATTACAGTGATGCAATCTCTCCACTTAGCTTCCAGTTAGAATATAGGAACCAGCTCAGAGCAGCTTCATCATGACTTTTTTCCTTACCAGTGTGAAATGTACAAACTCAATGGATTGTCACACTGTTTCTTTGTATATAAAGATATTCCTGTCTTGGAAAGCTTGAGTAAAACAAAAGAGGAAAAAGCACGTTATGGATGAGAAACCGAGACCAATTTTTTGTTGTTGCTAAGACCTGGGGGAAAAGAGAATGACTGATGTAGCAGAAGCCATTTCTAGTCGCTGCCTTTGTTGCTCACTTGTTTGAATTAACTGTGACTTGTCTTCTGAGCCTGTCAATGCTTGCTGGAGTTCTCTTGTGTATATTAAATTAAAACGCAAATTCAGAGGCAATATAATAAAAACGGAATATGTGTGTTTCATAAGGGAAGGCAAAGGGTGAAATGGATAACACCTTCTCGTCTTTTCCACAAATGCTTTCTATGCTTCAACAACCAAAAAGCCTTGATTTGTACAGTAACTACTCAGGCTCCTGCCCAGGCAAGGGGCACCACCAGATTTATGTGTTATGTTAAGACATTCGCTTTGGCTCTTTATTCCTGAGTTAAACAGATTGGAGTCCAATCCAATCTTTTGATGTGAATACAAATCCCGGGTCCACCACTACATATGAACCTAAAAGTTCTGGGAAAGTTGTTTTCCAACGCTCAGAAGTCCCAGGGACTTCTGAAGCCAGCCAGGGTGAAAGAGTCTATAGGATTTTCAGCAGGGCTGGAGCTCAGGGACAGAGACGCTGGACAGGCACACCTGTCGCTGCCGGTGGGGAGACAGGGGGACTCGGAGACCTGGGGTCCTCAGAGGCGTCTGTGATGCAATTAGTTACGGTCATCATCTACCGGGCGCTGGCCACGGAGGGCACTGAGGAGTGACGGTGTGCTTGTGGCCTTGCTGCAGTCCCGTAGGGGACACTTTAAGAAATTAGGCCTGTACCATGTCCTGAAGCTCAACAGGCAGCCGGAAGACAGGCAGACAGCACTGAGGGTCTCTCTCTCTCTCTCTCTCTCTCTCTCTCTCACACACACACACACACACACACACAGAGTTTGGATTCAGTTTGGATCATTGTTCCTTCTACATGGCCATTCAATAGAATCACCTGGACAATGATACAAAAATAAAAGTTTCTGAGGCCCAGTTAGACTTCCTGCATCTAAAAACCCAGACAGGAGGGAGAGAAATCTCTTCTTCCATAGTTACTTAATCTTGAATATATCATCTATTCATTCATTTTCCTAAGAGCTAGACAGATGGAGCGTCCCATCCGCTGGTTCACTACCCAATGGCTGCCAACAGCTGGGGCTGGGCCGGGCCCAAGGCAGGAACTGGAATCTGAGTCTCCTCCACGTGAGCGGCAGGGACTCAGCCACTCCAGCCTTCACCTGCCACACTGAGGATGTGCAATAGCAGGAAGCTGGAATCGTGAATGTAGCCAGGTCTCTGACCAGGAACTGACATGGAATTCAGGCATCCCCAGAAAGGTTCCAACCACCAGGCCAAATGCTCACACCAGCTAGTAAGATTTGAAAGCTCATCACGCTTGCTGAATACCAGTCTCTGTGGGCAACTCAGATCACAGCCTGGCAAGCAGAGAGGAGGAAGGTAAATCAAGTCCTTGTTTGTTCCACGTTCTACTTCCATTAAGGTCCACATCCCACACACTATGTTATAGCCCGAGCGTGGGGCTGCAGCAGTTTAGAAACTGAAGCCCACCCGGCGGTGTGGCCTAGCGGCTAAAGTCCTCACCTTGAACGCGCCCGGGATCCCATATGGGCGCCGGTTCTAATCCTGGCAGCTCCACTTCCCATCCAGCTCCCTGCTTGTGGCCTGGGAAAGCAGTTGGGGATGGCCCAAAGCCTTGGGACCCTGTACCCACATGGGAGACCCGGAAAAAGTTCCTGGATCCTGTCTTCGGATCGGCATAGCATCGGCCGTTGCGCTCACTTGGGGAGTGAATCATCGGACAGAAGATCTTTCTCTCTGTCTCTCCTCTCTGTATATCTGACTTTCCAATAAATAAATCTTAAAAAAAATAAAAAATAAATGAATAAAAAGAAACCGAAACCCAGGAACGTGACATTGACACTCGCGTGGGCTGAGTTTCTGAATGCCCCCATGCCCGTTTGCACTGGGCTCATTCTGAAGCTGTCTGTTCTTCCCCAGCCTTTTGTAGAGCCACGAGCACAGAGCTCTGCAGGCTCCTGAGAGGAAGCATTTCCCTGTTACAACTGCCCTTGACAATGAGACTCCTGCTGCTCCAAGTTCAGGAGTTTTCATCACACACATCTCTGGAATGAGAACAACAGTGCTTAGCCCCATTTGGGGTCACAGTCAAGTGAGATTTAGAGAAAACAGGATGCTGTCACAGGGCCTGGCAGTTGGCTCGCTGAGGAGGAGTGGACATGGACATTACTCAATCTCCTCCAGAAATCTAGGACAGGACTTACTGATGTTATTTACAGTCCCTAAGCATAACTGAGAATAAAAATGAGTTGCTTTAAAAAAGTTGTTGTTGGGCCCAGTGAGGTAGCCTAGTGGCTAAAGTCCTTACCTTGCGCTCACCAGAATCCCGTGTAGGCACTGATTCTAATCCAAGCAGCCCCACTTCCCATCCAGCTCCCTGCTTGTGGCCTGGGAAAGCAGTGGAGGACGGCCCAAAGCCTTGGGGCCCTGTACCTGCGTGGGAGATCCAGAAGAGGCTCTAGGCTCCTGGCATCAAGTTGGTTCAGCTCCAGCCGTTGCAGCCACCTGGGGAGTGAATCGGCAGACAGAAGATCTTCCTCTCTGTGTCTCCTCCTCTCTGTAGATCTGACTTTGCAATAAAAATAAATAAATATTTAAAAAATAAAAAGAAATAAATCTGAAAAAATGAAAGAAAGAAAAGAAAGAAAGGGAGGGAGGGAGGGAGGGAGGGAGGGAGGGAGGGAAGGAAGGAAGGAAGGAAGGAAGGAAGGAAGGAAGGAAGGAAGGAAGGAAGGAAGGAAGGAAGGAAGGAAGGAAGGAAGGAAGGAAGGAAGGAAATGCACTTTGTGTCTTTTTGCTGGGTTCCAGCATCTCCCGCCTCCCTCTCCGGACTCTCCATGCGGCTCACTGTTCTGTGGCAAAGCTATCTGCTGCCCTCTAGCGGTGACGCAGCTCAATTAATCAGCAACAGATGAGTCTGAGAACAGGTATGGCCAGCTTTCTAAATAATTCAGATTCTCTCCAAATATTTTTCCAGCAAAAAACATGCTTCAGGAGCCTGATAGGTGCAAGGCATGGACATGAGAGCAAGCAAGCCAATCAGAGATGGCACCGTCCAGTACAAGCGTCTCTATGCAGGCGGGTTGCTGTTCAAGCTGCCAGGCTCAGGCCAAGCAACAGTGGGGTCTTACTGGGCGATGGTGGAAGGGCAGGAGGCAGGGAGGGAATATGACCAGGGAAACTGAGCGAAACACTCATGGGAAGGCAGGATTGGAAACTTCACCGGTTCAGAGCTGCTGGCACTTCACGTCCAGTCCTCCTCTTGCCCCTTCATCATCGCCCTGTTGAACCACCTGCTTCTTCATTAGGCCGGTTTTATAGGTAAAGAAATCAAAGTTCTAAGACTTTCTGAGGCTTTGCTGGGGTCACTACGTTAGAAACAACTCCCAGGCCCTAAACTTCACCAGTTGCCAGAATGAAGCCTGGGGTGAACTTGAACAGGTGACTGCCCACACATGCCTGCTATTAACACTTACATGGCCATATCTGTAAGACTCCCTGTGCCATGGGGAACACGGAGGGCCTCCTGTCTCCTCCTCCAGCACTTGTACTCTTTCCCTAAGCCTTTATTTTATTCAATCTTGACCTTGGAAATGGGCTATCTTTTCTTTCTGTTAAAATTTTACTGGAGTGGTCCAGCGGCATAGCCTAGCGGCTAAGCCCTCGCCTTGAACGCGCCGGGATCCCATATGGGCGCCGGTTCTAATCCGGCAGCTCTACTTCCCATCTAGCTCCCTGCTTGTGGCCTGGGACAGCAGTCAAGGACGGCCCAAAGCCTTGGGACCCTGCACCCATGTGGGAAACTGGAAGAGGTTCCTGGTTCCCGGCTTAGGATCGGCTCAGCACCGGCCATTGCGCTCACTTGGGGAGTGAATCATCGGAGGGAAGATCTTCCTCTCTGTCAGTGTTTAACAGGAAAGGAATGGCTTCCACAGACCAGGCCACTGCACTTGCAGGTAGGCAAGGCAGCTGAGACAGAATGGTTTAGTGAGAGGAAGCTGAAGCTCATTTCTGAGCTCATCTCCCACCCATGCGGGAGATCTGGGCTGGGCTAAGTAGCATCGCTCACCACGCACTGGAGCTCTCAAAAAAGCTGGGTAGAGGGCCACAGTACCCACCCGTGAGTGTCACAACAGGGGGGCACAGCGGGCTGGGCCACAGCACCCACCAGAATGTGAGAGAAGCGGATCTGGGAGCAGATTCTGTAGGGGAATTCTGAGCTTGCCTCAAAGAGACTGCAGTACCTACTAGCCTGCACAGAGAACTTAAAGGGTGGAGCCAGGCTGAACCACACAACTCACCTGACGAGAACCCACCTGATACAGAATCTGAGGCTAGAAGAGGGTGAGGCCAAGCTGTAGCACTCACTCCCACATGCGAGGGCTGGGATAGAGGGCAGACCATGCCAAGTGTCAACGCTGCCCCCATTGGCATGTATGAGACCCAGGGCTGGCAGCAGACCTGGTAGGGGAACTTAGGGGACTTACTATTGGGTTGCAGCTCCCACCATGGAACACGAGAGCCAGTGCTGGGGACAGGCCAGATAAGGCAGGGCTACAGCATCCATTGGCATGCACAAGAGCTAGGACTGGGTGTGGGCTGTACCTGGCTGAGCTAGGCTGCAACACTCACCAGCAAGAGCTGAGACTCCAGGTAGGCCATGCTAGGTTTGATCAAAGTACCCGCCTGCACGTGCACATTTTGGGGCTGGGAAAGGGTTTGATAGGGGAACTCTGAGACTGCTCTGCTGGGCTGTTACGGGTGACAGACAGATCCCTGACCCTGCATTTGCTGTACACGGAAGAGTCATGTCTGAGGTCACCCCAGGCAATGTTTCTTGGGAGACTCCACAACTGGACCATTGGACTCAGACCCTGACTTTGGGGAAAATCACAGGATGTGTGCTCCAACCTTGGAGTGCGTATTCCAGGACTGGGCCTCAGTTGCTAATGCCTGTGCAGTAGACAGCATGTCCACATGCACGTGGGGGGCATGGCTGCCAGCTCATCTAAGCCAGTAGGAGTTGTCAATTGCCTTGTCAGAGGAAGGAAAGCAGAACAGGCTAGACAATTGCGGCCAAGCTTTGCAGCATGTTCTTGGATCTAAGGTGGACTTTGTCAAACAGTATATTGTGGAAGGATTTTCTCTACCCCGAAACAATCAAAACAACTTCTCAGAACTTTTAAAACCACTGAAGTAGCACCTTTGGGACACTCTTCCCCACGTCGGGTGTCTAAGGCATCATCAAACGATTGCTCCCCACCCCAGGGAAAAACAAAACAAAACCTGAAACATATGTGCCACCCACCTTCCTCTGGGGCTTGAACTCCCCACCAGAATCAAAGGCCCACATGGGGGTGCAGCCCTCTCAACTATGTAAACAATATTAAGAAGAAATTTTAAAATGAACAAAACAAAAACAAGGGGTCTATTTCAAGAATCAGTCCATAGGAGAGGGATGACAAGCCCAAGGCCAATGGAAGAGCTTCCACTGGGAGCTATCGTGGCTTCTGAGTTTTCCAAGCGCTCGAGGCCTTAGCGTCCTCCTCAGACAGTGAACTGTAGACAGCTGGCTGGTCCAAGGGCCTGAGTTCTAAGATTTGATTTCTCCTGAAGATATCAAAGAATACGGAACTGTTAGGACCCTATTTGTTTTGTTTTACATTTTCAGGGCCACTAATAGCCACTAGCCAGGCATGTATATATGAAATTGACAAATACAAATACAAATTGACAAATATCTTGGGTCCATTCATTTACGTACTCAGTCACTGAATGTGCACAGGAAACACGAGAGAGAAAACATGCTGCCTTCTCCAGAAAGGCATAAAGGGTTTTTTAAATGAATTAGTTTGAAAGTTTGGCAGGAGTGGGGGTGGACCGGAAGAGAGCCTTTTCACAAACTGGTTTACCTGCCAAGTGGCCGATATAGCCAGGACTGGCCAGGCCAAAGCCAGACACCTGCAGCTGCGTGCGTGTCTCCGACGTGGGTGGCAAGGCCATGCGCTCTGGCTGTCTCCCACTGCTTTCCCAGGCGCAGAGCGTGGGCTTAGAAGTGGAGCGGCTGGGGGCTGTGAGATATCAACACAGCGTGTAGCACTTTAACCTGTGCAATAGAATCCCTAGACCCTTCCCTAGATATTCAGAAACTTATCCCCCAAATCTTCCCAGCATGATACAACATGTGTGATCTCGACGTAGTATGATCATGTATCTATGTTGGCCAAAATGTTATATTCATATGATTGGCCCATATTTCCGTTTTGTGGGTTAGGATAAGTACATGGTCCAGGCCTGGGTGTTGGGCGGCCCAGGCAAGGTAGCTCCATCTGTTCACAAGTGTGTGAGTTGCTTTTAGGAGGGGGCAGACCACACAGAGCCAACCAACCCTAGTTCACGGGCAAATGAAGAAACCAGGCTGGAGCACAGGTCATGCTGAGGTAGGCTACAGTACCTACTGGTTTGCATGAGCCAGGGATGGAAGCAACTGAGCCAATGTGAGGTGGGCCATGCCAGACTAAGCTGCAGCGTCCAGCTGGCAGGACGCTAGTGAGGCCCAGGAGGAGAGGTATGAGTCTTGTGGGGGTCTGCATGGTGCTCCTTTGCTGAACCACTCCCACTGGTGAGTATGACAGCTGGAATGGGGGCAGACCAGGCCTGGCAGGGCTGCAACATGTGTTGGCCTTCATGTAAGCTGGATCGGGGAAAACCAAGCTGGGCTGACTGTACCCATTATTATATGCATAAACCAGAGTGGGTGAAGGTTGGTTGGGCTTTGCTGCAGCCTCAGCTGGCAGATGCTGGCCTGGGTGCAAATTCTGTCAAGCTTGACTGCAGAACCACCTGGAGAGTGAAAGGTCTGGGTGTGAGAACAGACCCATTAAGGAACTAGTGGCACTTCCCTCTTGGGCTGCCACACCCACCGGTGAACATGAGAACCAGGACTAGGAGCAGGCATGGTTAGAGAGTGGCACCCACTGGCAGCAGTGCGGACTGGATAGGGGGCTGGTTGGATTGAACTAAGCTTTAATGCCCACTGCCATGTACAAGAGCTGAATGGGGTGTGGGACAGACTGGATCAGTCAGCGGTACATACTGACAGGCACATGAACCAGGGCAGGGGGCAGGACTGGTGGGGGTTACTGTGGGTCGTTCCAACTAGGCTGCAGCTCCCACTGGTTTACGTGAAGCTGATTGTGCAGTGGGAAGGATCGGGCTGGACTGCAGCACCCATTGGCTTGCATAGAAGACAGGGCTGGAGTCAGAACTGACCCAGCCATTGTAATCACCAGTGTGTGCATTAGGCTGATTTGGGCGACTGACTGTGCCAGACCCTGTAATTGGTAAGCACACACAAGAATCGGGCCTGGATAGCCTCAGATGATGTCTCTTTGGGGACCCCCCCAGTTGAACCGCTGGACCCAGAACTCCAGCCATGAAGAGGATTGCAGGTTTCATGGGCTGACCGTGGAGTGCATGTGTCAGGGCTGGGCCACCTCAGTGGCTCAGAGAGAGAAGTGGACAGCATATCCGGCTGTACACGGAGGATATAGAGCCTGCAGAGGACACCTGGTATGTTGTCTGTTAAGAATCTAATCTATACACTACACAAAGTGCCTGAGGTTCAGTCCCAACTCCACTTCTTCTTTTTCAAAGTTATTTTTATTGAAAGAAAGAGTTACAGAGATAAGGAGAGACAGGGAAAGATCTTCCATCTGCTGGTTCATCCCCCAATTGGCAACAATGGCTGGAGCTGAGCCAATCCAAAGCCAAGAATCAGGAGCTTCTTCCGGGTCTCCTGCAGTACAGGGTCTCAAGGTTTTGGGCCAACCTCTACCACTTTCCCAGGCCACAAGCAGAGAGCTGGATGGGAATGGAGCAGACGGGATATGAACTGTTGCCCATAAGGAATTCTGGTGCATGCTTTCACTAGGCTACTAAGCCGGCCCTCCATCCCCACTTCTGATCTAGCTCCCTTCTATTGCATGACAAGCAGTAGCTGGTAGCTCAAGTGCTGGGGTCTGCCACCCACCTGGGGGAGACCCAGATGAAACTCCTGGCTCCTGACTTCAGTCTAGCTCAACCCCGGTTATTGCTGGCATTCGGGAAACAGACCAGTAAATGGAAGGCCTCTCTGTTCCTCCCCAATCTGATACTCGTCTTTCAAATAAATAAATGAATGTATCTTTTTTTCAAAAAAAAAAAACACGTTAACAATGAAATATGGTTTCTAAGTGCGTGAGCTGTAGGTTCTGGATGAAGGGCAAGGTGCTTCGAGCAACATCCCTTTGTGTAGCACTGACTGAGCTGCAGGTGCTCTCACTTGTCACTTCCTGTTGAGTAGACACAGGAACAGGACAATGAAACCAAAGGGCTCAACAGACAGAGATAATACACTGTCACAAGGCCCATCTCGGAATGAAGGACGAGCTGTCACTTCGGTTTGCATTTTGACAATGAGAGAGGACGCACCGAATTACTAAAAGGAAAGAATGAGACCCCTGCAGCGCCGATGTCTCATCAGACACGATGTGCTTGCTGGCAGGACAGAGTGAAATACACACCTTTAAAATGCTCAGTGGACTTCTTCAAATAAAATGTGAAGCAGAATTGGGTGGACATTCGGGACATGGCATGGCAGCCAAAACACAGTTTGCCTAGAGAATTTTCTTTCTTGGTCAGCCAGGAGCGTTACATCAGCTGCTCCAGAAGCACCACCTCCAGAAAGGACACACACAGAGAAAGGGAGGGGAAAAAAGGCTGCATGTGGAAATTCAATTGTATTTATTTTTCTTATACAGAATCAGAAAAGTAAAAACCAGTACCAAACTCCAGGTAAAACAGTTTGATCTGATTGATTTGGTTGCATATCCCTGTATGCTAACATTCTAAATTAAAAATACACACACATGTCATATAACAGAATGTAGAAGTAGGATTTTTTTTTTAAGTACTAGTACAGAAATGATGCAGTGGGTTAGGGAAACGGTCTCCGTCAATCGCCCATTTTCCCAATTAGTCTACGATGTCCTTTTCTGTTTCAACAGCTTATTTTTTTCCCCCCTATAAAAGCTGTCCTTTCCAAAGTCGCTTCTACCGAGAACTACAGCTTGAGAACACAACTTGGAAAGAGCAGCCACCCGGCCACCATCCGCAGGGAGCTCCTCTGCCACGTGGGGGCGACAGCACCCCAGGGCTTGGTCTCGGTGCTCCCCACACCTGGCCAGGAGAGGGATGGCATTTCCCAGCCTAACCCTTCTGCTCAAAACACCAGCTAGCAATGACTCAGATAAGAATCACAACCCACTTTCCAAAATCCATTTACTTTCAGGAAAATGCATCAGGAAAAGGATCCCTGGAGCATGCTAGAAGTTTTCCATTTCACGTTTAACATGTCCTTTCCATGGCAAAAAAAAAAGAAAAAAAAGAGGGGGGTTGGGGGGAGTCGGGGGACTACTGATTGGTTTCAGAATAAGACTAGCTATCCTGGCAGTCTTATGATAAGAAATATAGTATAAATAGCACCTTATCATGAATTCTGCAAGGGTTTTAACACTTACAATAATAGGAAACAGCCGTTTAAAAACCTGCCCTTATTTTAAGATTTCTGGCTTTAGTGTTCTTTAACAAAGGCCACACTTTATGGCCCTAAAAATAGCAACAACAAAATTATATCTGGCTTCCTCTATTAGTAAACACATAGTTAAGGTCCGTATTTTATTCTGGAAAAATATTTATGATATTTATTAATAAATGTTTCAACTCATTCTGCTACAAAAGTCTTAGTATTTTTCTAATGCCACAAGCTTACTAGAAAATCACTTCTAAGAATTGATAATAGAAATCATCAACGATTCAACTACTTAAAAAAAAAAGAGAGAGTGGGGTAGCTATTTCTTTATTTAAAAACCTGAAAATGAGTCTATAAAAATATTTTTTAAAAAATACAGTAACACTGCTGAGTTTTATTAGGTCCCTTGTTTTTCTTCTTCTTTTTTTTTCTTAGAAAGAATGTACAACTCTTTTTGCAATTTTTGCTAACAAAAGAGAAAAAGATATAGCGCTCCTTTTCGATGTAGTAGCAAGAGAAACACCATCCTCAACTGCTCCAAGGACACAAAAGGAAGGAACAGGGGACATAAAGCACGGGTCCTTCGGGGTAAAGGACATCCCTCCATGGTGTCAGAGGCCGCAGCAGGTCCACGCTCTTCTCTGCCTACTTCTTCAGCCTGGACAGGGCACCCAGCACCAGCCCTGCCCCTCTGCGTCCCACGAAAAGTGCACCAAAGCCTTCGTTTCTCCGACAAGAAAATTCTTCGGGTAGAAATGCTGCAGAAGAGAATCGCTGCTCTGTCCTTTGGGGTCCCCTCTCCTACCTCCTGCCCGACTTGCTCTGGGGGGAGGGGGAATCCTATCCCTTGTCCCTTTCCATTTCACAACAGGCACCGTGCCCACCGCATCCCATGTCGGCTCCACCTCGTCTCCCACCTCTGCACTTGCCTTCTTGCCCACAAGATCAAATCCGCTCTGTAGACCTACAGTCCTGTCGATCCATCAGGACCTCAAAAAAACATCCCCAACAAATAAGCTCCCCGCAGTTGGGAATTGAAAGGTTCCTCTCAGAGACCTGAATTACGAATGAATTTCAAACAAAAGATTAAATTCATAGACTATAAATAATGTCAGTTCAAAATATTCAACAGTTGAGGACTTCATTGGCCATGCAAATAGATGGCGTGCCAGCTCAACATGACGCGCTCTCAGTCCTTCAAAGCGAATAAACAATGGTTTTTGGTTACATAAGAGGTATTGAGTACATAGGTCATGCCTTTTGATACCAACTATAGCAAACAGGATTAGGCTAATACACTTAGCAATCAATTTTGCTGAATTCAGAAACATATGTCTCCACCATAGGCTTCTGCTTCATCCTTCACACAGTTTCATAGATAGGATTATTTTAAACACTTGACATCTTAAAAGCAGAATTGAAAAGCAACAGCTTGTTGAGTGTGCTTTCAGCAGAGTTGTAAAGACAAAAAGCTGCCGCTGCTTGATCTGCCAATATCTGACTGCCCTTTGCCCTCGACAACAAAATTACATTGCTCGATAAAATTATCAAATTCTTAGCCACCATTTTAAAAAAGATCCAACTTGTAAAAGTTTTGATCCACTCATGTTTGTAATTAGTACCAAACTGGTCTCTTTGCTAAGCTCAGAGGTGTAAGACCATGACGGCCACGGCTGGGGGCCTCCCGCTGGCAGTCCAATGCCATCTGGATACCATGCAGCCGAAAGGAATGGAGCAGGCAGGACGAGGCATGCTATGGTACGTGCGCAGTAAAAGAGCTCTCAGAGCCAGCAGGGCTTCAAAACTGCATTGTATCCCACACAGCAGAATCTTACCAGCCATAGAATGATTTTTTTTGTTGTTGTTGTTGTTCTAAAGCTCAAGTTAAAAAGATTTTTAAAGCATTTGGAACTGCTATCATCATCAGTATAGCCTTTGAAACCGTAAATCAGATCTAATTTTCTGCCCATTTCCTGGACCAAATTGCCTGTCTGAATGGTTTGTACTCAAGTGATGGATGAATTTCACCTAACACCCAGAAAGTTTGGCCGTGGGAGAGCAGATAGATAGAGGGAGATAGAGAGATAGACAGAGCGGGGGCAACTCTGCGTATTCTTTCAGAGGAATGCAGGCTTGCAGAAAATGAAGATAGAATATGCATTTCTGTTTAGCTTAAGTGAGTGTTGATGCAAACCAGGCAATGATTAGGCTGGCCCCGTGGGAAGGAGGGAGTGAGCATGAGTCGTGGAGGCAGAGAGGGGAGCACCTGCGCACGCACGCTTGCTCTGCTCCATGGCTTTTTCCAAGAGGCCCAGGAAACGTCAGGTCCCAGCTGCACCCACGTTACAACAGTAGTGGTCACAGCCAGGTCAGAAAAGGCTCGCTTTTGTTCAGAGCAGACTCGACATCGTTGAAGAGAGGGATCAGATCTTCAGATTCCAGCGTTCCTAAGTCAACGTTCGTCCCGGGAAGACAGTCAAGGAAATCTGGGAAACGGGTCTGCTGGGGGTTGATGCTCATAGGTGTCTGACCTGCATTTTCTCCTGTAATGAAAGCAAAGCAAACCATTGTCATCCCTTCTGTGAAGCCCTTGACAGACACAGCTCTCATTCTCAGGGCTTCAGCCAGCCCACTGCTGACCCTCATTTAAAACAGGTGCAATGATGCTGAGCCCAGCTTCTGCAAATGCACCTCCTGGGAGTCCATGGTGATGGCTCTAGTATTTCAAGCCTCATTACCAAATGGAGACTCCCAAGGAGTTCTGGGCTCTTGGCTTTGGCCTGACCCCGCCCCAGCCAGGGCAGACATTTGGGGCAGTGAACCAGTGGCAGCTTTCACTCTTTGTCTCTCTGCCTCTCAAATAAGTGCTAAAAAGATTCCAAGAGAGAGCCACACAGGATGGCTCAATTGGCTAAAACCTTCTCTTGTATGCACTGGGATTCCATATGGGTGCTGGTTCATGTCCCAGTTATGCTACTTCCCATCCAGCTCCCTGCTTGTGGCCTGGGAAAGCAGTGGAGGACGGCCCAAAGCATGGGAACCCTGCACCTGTGTGGGAGACATAGGAGAAGCTCCTGGCTTCAGATCAGCTCAGCTCCAGCTGTTGCAGCTATTTGGGGAGTAAACCAGCGGATGATTCCCTGTCTCTCCTTCTTCTGTAAATTAGTACATCTTTCCAATAAAAATAAATACATCTTTTTTAAAAAAAAAATTTTAAGAATTAAATCCATTCTTTTAAAAAAAAATCTCCCCATGGGCTTTTTTTTTTTTCTTTTTTCTTTTCTTTTCCTTCTTTTTTTTTTTTTTGGCTTATTTAATTGCTTTTTATCTTTATTGGCTCCCCAGTGTTTAGAAGATGAAACTAAACAACGTTTAAACACAGGAAGGAGCTACCTAAGACTGTTCCAAAGGCAGTAAAGTAATTTTCACACCGAAAAGAGAGAGAAGACAGAACATTGAAGTCAAACACCAAAGGAGAGGAAAATGAGCAATTCAAACTATTCTTGCATTGAGTCCTCGCAGGACAGACCAGGTTGGCCCCCGAAACTTTGGATGAGGTGCTCCAGGGAAAGCCACGTGGGCAGCTCCAGCATGGCACTGGGCAGACACCTGCCTACGAATGTGACTCTGTGACCCAGCCACAATTTGGGTTCACAGCACAGGGAGGAACCTTCTACAAGAGCCTAGCAAAACACAGGCACTGTGAGCAAATGCTTGAGGAAAACAACTTTTGCAATTAATACATTTCTCTGAAAGGCTGAAAAAGAAACAAGATAGACAGATGAGAAAAGACCTCCACCTGCTGGTTCACTCCCTCAGCGCTTGGGCTGGACCAAGGAAAACTGGCAGCCAAGAACTCCATCCAGGTCTCCTGTGTGGGAGGCAGGGACTTGAGGGCTTGAGCCATTACTGCTGCCTCCCAAGGTGCGCATTCGCAGGAAACTGGAACTGCAAACAAAGTTGAGACGCAGACCAATGCACCCCAGTACAGCTGCGGGTGTCCCAAATGCTGTCTTCAAACCTGTGCCAAATCTCTGACCCTGAGAGCATCTTTTATTTTCTTTCATCACAAAACAATTAACCATCATCAGTGATGATGATGGAAAAAGCGAATGAATTACTCCAAATACTGCACACCTCAGATGTCATTTTTTGGCTCTAGGGTGTCCTCTGGCAGGTCTACCATGAGGTCCAAGATGATCTAGAAGAGCAAATTTGGATTTTACAATTGGAAGCCCCATTTCTTAAGAACAGGACAAAAGGCAACAATATCAGGGAAGCTTGCTGCGGGCTGGGTTGGAGGAGGTGAAAGTCACCTTGGTCCTGTTTCCAAATGCTGAGGCAAAATGTTGTCCCCACCCTGGAACTTAGAGCTGGCCACGTGGAATCCCCTGAGTTGCTTTGCTTTCAAATGTCCCTGCTGTCTACTTCCCAAATGCAGTCAGTGACACGAAAAAATTATGCACAGTGGTAGAGCCACATAAACCAGGACCACGTCCCAAGAGAAGTGACCCATATGTTACAACTATAATCTAGCATGACACCAATACCCACTGTAGAATATGATAAAGCAGATAAGGCCTTCTTAATGGTAGTGATGAAGGGGCTATATGAAACAAGGTCAAGAAAACAGAGTTGAAAATCCTGTTCTCAGGAGCGGCTGTTGGGGCAACAATAAGATGCTACAGGAGATGCAGCAAGTGTGGCTCAGGTAGGTTGAGTCCAAGCCTCACCCACTGGAAACTTGGCCTGAGTTCCTAGCTCCCTGCTTAGCCTGGCCCAAGCTATTGCAGGAGTTTGGGAATTGAACGTACTGGGTACTAATCGTCGGGTGGCTTTCCAGTTGTCACTCGATGCCGCTACTGGGCACTAGTGCTTCAGGTTGGATTTTAGGGCTGAGGTGTCTGATGACACTATTGTCAAGCACGACCACACTGCACGCCATTGCAGCTTGTCTCCTACCTGTATCCATCTCCTCCACATTGCTGAGGAAGTCCTCTGGAGTTGTGGGGACGCTGTAGCACCCTAACCCCAGGCCGCTGTCGGTGCTCTGCTCCCGGGAGTGGTAGGGCCCTCTGGAGGGCAGAAGATGGACAAATTCAGACGCAAGCCCGCGAAAGAAGTTTGACAATGAAAGTACAGTCACAAAAACGCTAGGCTAGTATGTCCCAACAGTCTGCCTAACTTGCAAGGCAACAAAAGGAAGCAGAGTTTATGTCTCCCTTTAACTTTGAAATATGTTCTAAGTCCATTAAAATAAGTGGTAACCACATAAAACTGATCATTCGTTGGGGCCAACAGCGTGCTGCCACCTGCAGGAAGAACATCCCATATGAATACCAGTTTGAATTGAAGCTAGACTGGTTCTAGTTCAGTTTGCTACTAATGTGCCTGGGAAAGCAGTGGAAGAAGGCCTGAGCACTGGGCCCCTGCCACCCTTGTGGGAGACCTGGATGACGCTCCTGGTGCTTGGTGTCAACCTGGCCCAACCCTGGCTACTGCAGCCATCGGGGGAGTGAACCAGCAGTTAGCACATCTCTGTTGCTCCCTCTCTTTCTGGTCACTCTGCCTTTCAAATAAATAAATACACCTTTGACAACAACAAAAATAAAATTGCTAATTTACAGGACATTGACACCAATTTCATTAACATGGACACCGTTCTATATATAAAGTGTGACACAATTTACATACATTGTTTTCAAAATAAAAACCGATATTGACTCAGTATGGACATATACGCTCATGTGCACAGGAATGACAGCCTTGGTTGGCTGTCGCAAGCAAACCAGTGAAAGGAAGGTCTCTGTTTCTCTTTGTCTCTCTGCCTTTTAAATAAAATGAAAACGAATTGATAAAAAAAAAATTATATGTGGTGGACACACCACCTTCCGAATACCAAGCCTACTTACTAGAAGAAAGAAAAAAAAAAAAAGAGAGATCTCAGTGGCAACAGGGATGGGTTCAAATATTAACTGTAACACATTATTTACATAAAATACGATTAGGCGGAAATGCGGCAAACGTGGGTGCTGGGTGCCTGAGCGTCTCCTACGTCAGTCTTTACGCTTTTCCGTACAGTCATTACTTTAAAGTCAACAACTTAAAAGCTCCTTTCCCCTCATGATTTCTGCTGTTTCTCCTTTTCTCTAATAGCACTTAAGACTGTACTTGTTTGTTTACCAAAAATATCCGCCGAGGCAGAAAAGATAGGAAATAACGTGTTGCTTGTGTTTCAAGGACTACAATTCAAGTTCACCATTTCTACTCATCAGGATATTTCCACTTAACAACTTTTCCTTCTGCTGTTGGGTTTCAGTTTTTAACAATCAGTTGTTTTAACTAATTTTTTAATTTATAACTTTGGGTTCACATCAAAAATGCAAGAAAAGGGGAATGAATTTCCGGTGGCATTCATGCTCTTTCCCCAATAATCTTTCACATTGCCGGAGAGCAACCACTGACTGTACTATCCTGCTAACTACAGACCTTCTCCACATCTCAGAAATGCTCCCTCTTGCTTTGCTCTCAATTTGTCATATTACAAACTTTCATCCTGCTGACTCCTTCAAACCACAGGATTCTCGTAAGTGTAATTCTAGACAACATCACCTTGTTTAAAATCTAAATCCATTTCTGCTTGCAAACTATTGACTAGGGGTTAATTCCACGTCTGACAGCTCTACCCACTCATCCCTCTGTACTCATCTCCACCCTCTACCTCCACACCTGTTCCAGTGTAAACAGAGACCATCTGATGATCCAGATCACATACTACAGACAGCAATGGTCCCCAAGCACCGACTCACCCATTGAGGAAGGGGTCTGAGCTGTTATTGGTGACAGACCTCATGTCGGGAGTCATGGCAGGTGGGTTGACCGCAGCCTGAACCGTGGCCAGAGTGTCCGCTTCCATGGGCAGCTGTCTGCAGAGAGCAGCCTCCTACACGATGCGACAAGCAGGGGGAGAGGTCAGTTACTCAAGCATCACACAATTTGGAGCACAGTAAATGTCACATGACATCTTTTCACCAAATACAAAAAAGCATTTTCTGCTCGTTGCCAGCTAAGTCCCAATCATCAGGAAATCATTAGCGCAGAAAGTCTTCCAGACTTAAGTCGCTTTATCACATCCACAAAGCAAAGGGGAAGCCCAGCTAATATTTGGCCTCTGATCGCTTATTTTGCAACTGCCCCAACCGTGCAACTGTTTAACTGCCCAAACAGGACAATGACCCCCTCAAGGCAGTTTCAGAGAGTAGATTATCTTTACCCAGCTTCCCAGGAACCAAATCAATCAAAGCCATCAGATTCCCCTGAACTAACATGTACAGTCTGGTCTTTGCCACTCACAAGCCAGCAAAGCCGGCTCCATATGGAAGTGTGTCTGACTCTGTGTCAACGGGTAGGAGAAAACAATCATAGGTTTTTAAAAGTTTGTTAGAAAGTCGGTGAAGGGGCTGGTAGTTAGCAGATCAATCAGGACTCTGGAGTGGGCTGCCTCTCCTGTGAGAATGTTGGGGTGTGTGGAGCCAACTCCAGCTCCTAACTCCAGCTTCCTTTTAATGGAGACCCTGGAAGCAGCAATAACAGCTCGAGGATCTGAACTCCTGCCATCCGTAGGGGCCACCTCCCTGGGCTCCCACTTTCAGCGTGGCTACGGAGCATCACAAGCACTCAGGGAGTGGATCACAGATGGGGGTCCAAGACACCCCACCCCTATCTGTCCGTCGGTCTCTCCCTGATTGGCTTTAAAAAGCTAATCAATATTAATCAAAAATTTTAAGGGTCAAAAAAAAAATGCCAGTCAGTTTTTCATCTGACAATTTTGTTAACTAAAATAGCTGAGGGTTGATAAGACTATGTAGATCCAATTCAAATCCCACGGACTTAGGGTCTCAGTATACTTATCACACAAAATATATAATATGTATATATAAAATATCACATATCAATACATACATAAATATATTATATGACATACAATGTTTAATAAATATATCTCTTATTTTTAGAAAGCTGGTGCTACTTCGCCAAGGAGAGTACACCCCAAAGGCTCCGAATTCGTTGACTTCCATTTACTTTCAGGCAGTACAAGCATCAGAAGTCTGACCCATTTTGACACTTTGGTGTGTTGATCCCTGCATCTCACGCCATGGCAGACCCATGCCCAACATGTGCCAAGGGCTCTTCCTCTTTCCAAGCTGAAGTCTGTGTGTCTCCTCCACCATCCCTCAGGCCCCAAGACTACAGACACCATGACATACGGAAAATGACATCATCTTGGGGGAAGTGTCTTGGTTGGCTCTCTTCCTGGGAAGAGTTAACTGCTATCTCGATAGCTCCCAGGCAAAACCAGACAGCTCCCAGTTACAACTTTCCATTGCGAGTTCACTCACGTTATGATATCACAACTCTTGACAAACCACGAGCCCTGACTGATAGGAAATCAATCTACAATGAAATAAGGATCTGTGGTTCATTTCTGTTCACGCAGTTGGCAAGTAATCAGAATACTTCACACTTTTTTTCCTATGTAGCCTATGAGTAGCAAACAAAATAAGATGAAGACTTATTTAGAGATGATTTCAGTCCATCATTCAAATCCTGGGGTAGCTTCTAAACAAATCTAGAAAAAAAATTCTGATTGTTCACATGACAAACAGTGTGCATGAGTAACCTTAGTGTCTAATTCACACTTTTCTGAATCAATTTGAGCACAGCTCTAAGCAAATACCTTTTCAATATGAAAGTGAGTGATGGTGCATTTCTTTATACTTTTTTTTTTTCAATTTTATTGGGAAGGCAAATTTATGGAGAGAAACAGACAGAAAAAGGTCTCCCAACCACTGGTTCACTCCCAAAATGACTGCAACAGCCACAGCTGAGCCAATCCAAAGCCAGGAGTCAGGAGCTTCGTTTGGAGTGGAGCAGCTGGGACATGAACTGGCACCTATATGGGATGCTAGCACTAAAAGGCAGTGGGTTAACAAACTTAGCCATCCCACCAGCTCAATCTTTATCCTTGACTAAATTTTACTGCTATGTCTTAAAAGTATGGTTTGAATTTGTGATTTTCAGGAGGTCAGAATCTAAACATAGTAAGAATAATTTCTGAAATTCATGGGGTTGAAAATACATAATTTATTATCAGTAATGACATACAATATGAAAATAAGTTTTAAAATGTCAGAGAACAGATGTAAAGCATGGAGTTCCACATTTTCTTTTCTTTTCAACAGTATTTATCTAGGAATCTGGGAGTCGAAGAGAGACAGGTAAACCAAGTTTATTGCTGACTCCCTCTTCAAGTGCCTACAGTGGTAGCAATTGGCCCAGGAACTCCAACCACATAGGTAACAGGAACCCAACTGATTATGCCACAGCCTCTGTTTCCTCATATGTGCATTAGCAGAGAGCTGGTTCTGGAGATGCAGTCGGGGGAATCGAACCCAGGTACTGTGCGCTGTTGGGCAAGGGCATCTTATTGGCAATTTGAATCACTTCGCTACACACTCACTCCTAAACTTCCTCCTTCATTTAAATTTCTCATGCATACAGCATAAAAACAATGCTGTGTGTGGCCCATTAGATACAGACATTATAAGAAACTGTTATTCATAATCAAAACTGAAAGAATCTATATGTACCACATTGGGAAAAAAAAGCCTCACTGTGCAATTTCACATTTGTTCTTCTCTGTTTTAAATCAAAGAGAACTAAAATACTGTCAGTCAACATCGACGACTCCCAAGTCATCAGAGAAGGAAATGCTACATTCTGTCTGTAGGTGGCTCACACTTACCACTCTCTACCTCCAAGGATAGAAACTCAAGAGAAGCAGAAAGGATGCTGCAGGTGCCTGAACAACAACTGGGGAAATACAACTTCCGCTGGCCTGCGATAAAGTCAGAACCTTATCCTAAGATCCTTCTCGAAGGTCCTGCTAATCTAAGCCCCGCTGGGCGACCAGGGCTGCCGTCCCTCCCTGCTTCTCTGCCATGCTCCCTCATACATTCTCTCCCATTAATACGTGTCCTTTCAGCTCTTCCCATTTCCAGCACCTGCACCAACTGTTCCCTCTGCTGCGACCCACTCCTGAGATCTTCCCTAAATTCACTTCCTCCTTTACCATCTGCCACCTACAAATGCCATTTCTTCTGGGATGTTTCTTCCTGACCCTTGTTTAAAACAGCCTCATGGTGGTAGCATAGAGGCTAAAGTCCTTGCCTGACACGCACTGGGATCCCGTATGGGCACTGGTTCTAATCCTGGCATCCCTGCTTCCTGTCCAGCTCCTGCTTGTGGCCTGGGAACACAGTGGAGGATGACGCAGTGCCTTGGGACCCTGCAGCTGCACCTGTGTGGGAGACCTGGATGAAGCTCCTATTTCCTGGCATCGGATCAGCTCAGCTCCAGTCACTGAGGCCGCTTGGGGAGTGAATCAATGGACAGAAGATGTTCTTTCTATATCTCATCCTCTCTGCAGATCTGCTTTTCAATAAAACAAACAAATAAATAAATATCTTTTTAAAAAATCAAACAGCTTCATGTTTTTCATTGCCTCCTCTTTAACCTGCATGAGTTTTCTTTATAGTAACTTCAATTCAAATGTAAGCCCCTCCCCCCCCCAGGTTTCTTCAGTCCAGCGTCCCCACCATCTATCACCTTGCTAGGCAAAGGGTGGGTTACTCAGTGCAGATTTGCTTCACAAGTAGATGAAAAGTAGGATCAGAATCCAAATCCGATTCAGGTTTAAGTTAGGGTGAATAATAGAAACAAAAATAAATATCCACTCTCACTTTCAAAGACAAATTTGAGTGCTCTCTTGCACAATTCCGATCGTCCAGGTGCAAACTCCCCATCCTTAGGAGATGCTCCCACAGCACCCCTTCCTGCTGCGAACACCAGATGAACAGGAGGAAAAGAGGGGCCAGGAGCAGGACCTCTTGGGCCAGGTGCTGGGATCTGAGGCTCGGCTGGCCCTGCCAACTCCCAGCCAGTGACTATGCCCGCTACATCTCAACTGTAAAGGAGGGTGACGAGGCAGCCACGGGACAGGGATGCCGTGATGACCAAGCAAAGTATCTCCTGTAAGGTGCCTGGCCAAGGGATCACCTTTAAAGTTTAATTCTTCTCAAATTGTGTATTTCTGCTTCAGAAGACAAAAGCAAAACTAAAATAAAACAATTTTAAAACCCCTCTGCTGTGTGGAATGGATCTACTCCGGATGAGAAACTTCTTTCTGGCCAACCTCGTAGAGACTGAGCGAAGTGTAACACCCAGCATCAGGCGCCAGTAGGGCCAAGAAAGCAATAGATATATTGTTCTCTGTATATCTCTTTCAGATATACAGAGAGGAGAGAGAGAATATCTTTCATCTGCTGATTCAGTCCCCAAGTGGCCACAATGGCCAGAGCTGCAATGATCCAAAGCCAGGAGCCAGGAGCTTCTGGGCCTCCTACGCAGGTGCAGGTACAGGGTCCCAAGGCACTGGGCCACCCTCCACTGTGTTCCCAGGCCACAAGCAGGGGCTGGATGGGAAGCACGGATGCCAGGACACGAACTGGCGCCCATACGGGATCCCGGTGTGTACAAGGCAAGGTGAGTGCTTTAGCTGCTAGGCAACTGCTCCGGGCCCAGATTGAGTTCCAAGCTCCTGGTTTCAACCTGGTTCAGTCTAGGCTATTGCAGACATTAGGAGAGTGAATTCACAGAAGATCTCTCTCTGTCTCTCTGTCTCTTTCACATCTCTATCTGTCCCTATGATAAATGTGAACCAAATGGACAGTGGTAAGCAGTTTCATTTCACTCAATTATATTTTATAATACAATAGTACTATACTTAGAACTATTAAAATTCCAGCCTTTTTTTTTTTTGTTTTGGAATTTGTGCCTGTTTATGAATTGAAAAAAAATGAGCAGTATAAAAACCCAGTCTAA